ACCAAAAGTTTGTGATATACCCACAAAACAAGAATTGTGGAAGTAAAAGTTCGAACTATACACCACAAAACTTTCTCCAAGAGAATTGACACTTTCGAACAAAGCTCCATTTTTCAATATACTCACAATACATTTAATACATAAATTTCACTTAATATATTTCCTTAATGTACAACATTCAACTTTAGAATCTTAGGAGAAGTCCATGTAACATTAACCAACAGAAGAAACAACTAAAAGTGGATAATTATTGACCTTTGTTACAAAATCACAGATATCAACAGTAATAGTCAATCTAATAATGACTATTACTACAAAGATAACAAAGACCTACTTATGAATAAATTGTCCATTACTGAGAAGACAAAAAAACATTTTTTTTATTATTACAAAGACAAAGACACCAACCAATTTATTACAGTAAATCGACTATTCCTACAAAAACGACTAAAACCAATAAAAATTTAATTAGATTTTTATTGACTAGTACTACAAAGTTCTAGCTCTGAACGCATTAACTAATACTGAGAGTGAAAAAAATATTTTTTATTACTACATAGAAGCACCACGAACCAATTTATGAGAGTAAATTGATTATTTTTAAGGCGACCAACACCAAATTCCATTATATTTTTATTGATTATTACTACAAAAACTACCAAAAAAGTTAATATATTGACCATTATTTTAAAGATCCAACTGGAGCACATTATCACTTCAAAAATAAGCATACTTTTTAATACAAGAAAATTTGACAATTCTTACAAAGACAAAGGGTTAATAAATTGTCTACTCTATAGTACGAATTGCCTTACAAATATTTAATTAACTTTATTTTGACTGTTCTAAAGCCACAGACAGAAAAAAAATACAACAAAAGTATCAACAAAGTTCCGACTGTTAGTTTATTGGCTATTACTACAGTCATTCATAACAAAGACCTACTTATGAATAAATTGTCTATTACTGAGAAAACAATAGATACCAACCAATTTATTACAGTAAATTGACTATTCCTACAAAAACGACTAACACCAACAAAAATTGAATTAAATTTTTATTGACTATTACTACAAAGTCAAAAAAAAAACTCACCAACAAAGAACCGATTTCAAAATTAATTGACTATTATTTCAAAGATGACTTACTTACTCAACCAAGATCTAAGGCTTTATTGGCTGTAAGTTCAAAGACATTGCATCAACGGTGTAACGATTTGTAAAATGACAATTACAAACACACAACAGGTTGCCATGAACGGCTTACACAATATAAAAAATTATATTTTTTAAAATGATTTCAATGACGGGTAATATGCGTATCTTGAAAATTGATGTGAGTCAATATTTATTTTTCAAAGACAAAACCCCCGTCAGAATTAATAATTTTAATTATTAATAAAATAAGAACACAGGGAGAAATCAATAATTATCCAATAAATTAGAATGCCCTAATTGTTTTTATTTTAATTTATGCAACTTCTCAGTCATTGACAAAATTCTGGAACGAAATAGTATGAAAAATAGTGCTTATTAACCAATTTCTAAATATTGAAGAAAAATTTGTACAGCACATTTGGAATATTCTCATGGGTCTAAATTTAATTTTAAAAAACTGCGTTGAACTCGTAATGACCGATCAATTAAATCATGTGCAAAGATCATGATTTTTCGAAAATATTTATGCTAAGGATTAGCTTCAAGTCACTGGACTCAAAAGGAAACTTTAGGTTTCGAAGAAGAACCTAGGACAAGAAGGACACAACTAAAAAGGAAACAGAAAGAATGATAGCTTGGGGGGCTAAAAAATATCACGAGGGGGGCAAAAAAACATACCTTGGAGAAAAAAGGGACAAGGGACTCCTGCATCATGCCTCCGAAACATGTCCATTCGGGTAAAGATCAAACCAAAAAAAGCTCTGAGAGTTAAATTTAAAAAAAAAGTTTAAAGAGTAATGGGCGGGTACTACAAGCTGGAAGAAATAACTTGGAACAAAATGTAAAGTTGACCTAGGATGTTTTCACAACGATAAAGAAAACATGGTCCATTTAAAACAGTTTGAAACACTTAACGAGCTGGATATATAGAAAAACATATAAAATGGAAGAACTGTTGGAAAAAAAGCAGAGCGACTTTTTTTTAAAAGAATTTTTACTTACTATAAAGACTACAAAAGAAAAAAGGGACTTCTGTCCTCGTTCCGTGTTGGTATTGTTTAAAAAAAAGTTTAAAACACTTAATTAGCAGAATAACGCCACAAAAAAAGTAAGAAAAAGTCGAGAAAAAAGAAAAGAATTTCGACCTACAAACCTTCACCCAGGATAAAGAACACAAAAAATGAAATTTTGTCCACCCAACACAAAACACTTAACGAGATAGAATTTTGAAGAAAAAAATGTGGTGATTAGTGACCGTTAATCGATAATTATTCACAAATCGTGAGATGCGGTCTGGTGTGATGTGGGTTTCAGAAAAAAATTTTCTTTATCGTGCCAACGTTTCGATCTTTATTGAGATCATCTTCAGGGCTCAATAATTATCGAAACGTTGGCACGACAAAGAAAATGTTTTTCTGAAACCTACATCACACCAGACCGCATCTCACGATTTCTGAATAATTATTTGAAAAAAAGTAGGATACAAGTGAAATAAAGGAAAGAACGACCAAGGCACCTCGAACAAAGAACACAAAAATGGGAGGGAGGGTCGACTCAACTTAATGAGAATATTTTTAAAGTTTATAAAACTTAATTAGCACAATAGTCACGAAAATATTTTAAAAAAGAAATAGTCGAGAAAAAGAAAACTTTCGACCTAGAAACTTTCACCTAGCATAAAGAACACAAAACATGAAATTCTACCCACCCAACATGTCTTGAATTAAGGAATTTTCAAAACTAAAAGTTTCAAAACACTTAACACGATAGAATTTATAAAAAAGAAGGATACAATCGAAAAAAGGGGGAAGAATGACCAAGACACCTAGAACAATGTTCGCAAAAATGTAAATGTCGACACAACATATTGAGATTTTTTTTAAAGTTTGGGACAATTAATTAGAACAATGGTCACAAATATATTAAACAAAAAAATAAAATAAAGAAACAAGCGAGAACAAAAAGAATTTCGACTTAGAAACTTTCACCTAGAACAAAGAACACAAAAAATGAAATAGTGCCAACCCAACATGCTTGCATTAAGAAATTTTCAAAATAGAAAGGCTGAAAACACTTAACGAGCTAGAATTTTGAAAAAAAAAAAAGAGGAAACAGTAGAAAAAATGGGAAGAACGACCTAGACACTTACCTAGAACTAAAGACACAAAAATGGAATAGTGATAACCCAACTCCTCAGTTGAAAATTATTTTAATTTATTTTTGAAACAATGAGCATTTATATTAAGAAAAAATATATTAAAGGAAATAATAAAACTTTTTCACATTTGATTGGGGCATTGCCATCCTGACCTGAGATTGCATCATGAAATTTCTAGTGTTCGTAAGCTAGCGTTCTTCTTTCGTATAATAAATTGATTATTTTCATTAATTATTACTTTAGTTAATATGTAAGGGTACTTCTGAGATTTTTTTTGGGTTAGGGATTCAACGGGTATAGGGATGCAAAAAAATGAAAGTTTCTAAGCAAAATTTCTGTTTATTTTATACAGTGGAATTTACACAAAAATATTACCGGCATTTAAGCCTTTCCTAATTTAAATTTTTATACAATTTTTTTTTTTAATATTCTCTGAAAAAAAATTTCTTTTTCTTTCTGGAAAGTTAATCATGGAATGTATTTTTCTGTCTTGCGTCTTAGGAATTTTGATCTTCAGCTGATCTTAATAAACATGTGTATCTTATCAAAATTAAAAATTACGAGGAAACAAATGAATAAAGGCAAAAGGCACAAATGGTATTTACAGAAAAAAATCTTTCTGATGACAGCCAGAGGAAATCCTTGTAAATTTTTCCATCTTTAAATTATTTATTATTGTTCTATCATTATCATCCTTATTATTATTATTTATTATTATGTACAGACGTTTGAAACTTATGTTGATGATGATTATAATAATATTAATAATAATAATAATAATGACTAATAATAATAAAAACGGATCACAATCTAGCGATATAATGTAATAGTATCACCGCGTCAACATTCTCAACTAATAGAAACGTCGCTTTGTTATAAACTAAATTCTTAAATTTAAATTTTTTTGTATTATTTTTTTTTCTTCTATCCATTTTTCTCAATTAACTGACACGCTAGAGAATATATATTTTTTATACACATATATTTTTTTAAAAATTGTATTTATAATTAAAAACTCAATCTTAAACGTAATAAACTATGATCACATTTTTTTAAATTTTTTAAATATCATATATTCTAGTTTACAAAAAAAACTGGACATTCATACCACAAAAAAAAAAAGGAAGAAGAAAAATAAGGAAAATACTCAACCATTCTCACATATACATAGAAAAAAAGAAAAAAAATTGCAGTTCGTTATTTAAAAAATAATATATTATATAAATCATAGAAACGTAGATAGTACAACTAATTTGCTAAAACACAATTTAGTCCTGATAACTCAAGCCATGGGGACTTACATTTTTGTTACATTATTTGGTCCAAATTTTTCTATTGAATTTTTGTTCATTTACAAACGAAAAAAATGTAAATAAATAATTCTCCTCTAAATTTAATACACACAAAAAAATTATATTATAAAGGTAAATCATAAATAAATAAAACAGAATTAATCCTTAAATATTTTCTTGAAAATTAAATCTTTTGTTTATAAATGGAGAAATGTTCGTGTTATTTATATATTTAGAAAAGAGGGAAGCACTTTTTTTCTTAAATTCCACGTGCAGTCTTTTACATTGACAATGAGCAGTTATTTTTTGTACAGTTGGAACGATTAATTTTACAATTTTGGAATGTTAAATGTCTGTTTATTTTTGTTTTAATTATTAATAATTATTAAGTCGTTCGTTCCCGCTGGGCTTAGCTATGGCACTTCATAATAATTATTATGTTAAATAGTTGATGAAAGACATTTTATAGCTTTGGCCAAGCGGGGTTTTTTTTTACAAATTTTCAGTGCGTTTTTTTTTTTTTTTCTAAATCAGAGGATATGTTTTTTCTTTTTTGTTTTTGTTGAGAAGAAAATGAGAAATACAAAAAGCACTTGTGTTGGCCTCTCCTTTAACTCGAGGGGGTTGTTTTTTTTGTTTTTCTGTTCTAAAATTGATAGTATTTAAACAACCTCTTTACCTTCCAACCTTTTGGCGAGATCCGCTATCAGTTCTTTGAATATCAAAGGGTCGATGTTTTTGGCGAGTTGGTAGAGTACGAACCAGTCGCCGATTTGGCATTTGTTTGCGATCGTCTCGATCTGGGACTGCTGGGATAGCCTGGACCTGGCCCTGAGGAGGGTGAGACGGACGGGTGCCCAGACGACGACGGCCAACCTGTAGAGGAGTGACAGGCCCGAGAGGAGGGTGAGGAGTATGAACCAGAACCAGAGGAAGACGTAGATCTTCTCGTTGACGATGTTGAGCGGGAGGACGCAGAGGCCGTCGAACTTCTGCACGTCACCCGACGGACCGTACTTGTGGAACGTGCACTTGGTCACTTTTGGAAAGACCCTGGACATGGGGTCCTCGCGGTCCTCCGGCTCCATTTCGGTGAACCTGACCACGTCGGAGCCGTAGGTCGTGAACTCGCCTTCGAGGAAAAAATCCATGAAGTAGATCTGAGCGAGGACGTTGACGAAGTTGAGCACCTCGCATATGAAGAACCTGATGGCGTAGAAATTCTGCGTGTGTAAGTTTGTCGTGAAGTAATCGACGAGGAGCTTTTTCCTGTCCTTCTTGCACTCCTCGCTCAAAACGGGGCAGTTGAGATCCAGGACGAGCATCTTGATCCTCCCGCCCTCCCACGTCTTCCACAGGTACCTCGGCACGTAGAAGAGCATCGCTTGGAAAAACAGGACGAAGCACACCCACTGGTAGTATTTATGGTATTTGACTTCGTCTTCGCCTTCGACGTGGCTGGCCACCCCCGGCTGGACTATATCCTTGCCCACCTTGCCGACCAGCCTGTTCGGGATCGTGAAAGTCGAGTAGATCCAGCAGTACGTGTCCATAACGGCTAGGGGGATTTCGTCCACTATACAATCGATCGGGTCGCCGATGTACTGCCTCGACGTGACCAGGAGTGAGAACGCAACCAGGATTATGACCGTCGCTTTGTAATGAAGTCGGAATATATTGTTATCGATACATACACTGTCTATCCTCAGTAGCCCCTTGAGGGAGCCGAACACATCAAACATTTTTAACGGTTTAACACAAGGCACATGCGACAAAAGAGAAGGACTACGCTACACTGACGGCAAACTACATCCCACTTCCTGCCAACGGCCTGGTGAATGGAAGCGCATGCGTCGTACCCCCCACCACCATAGACGAAAGAACATAGAAGTGAGAACCTCCTCTGGTGGGGAGCAGCCGCGGCCCTTCTCCCTTCCAAAGCGGCTCAGCCTTTCTACAAATCTCATAACACCACAGCCTCCACCATCAAAGTCGCACTTTTTACATTTTATACAACAATCACTGACTTTTCATAGAAAACAAAACTTTTTTCTACAATACTAAATTCGCAACAACAAAAATTTCTTCCTCGCAAATGTTCGAAATTGAAGAATAAATCTCCATAAAAATTACCCTAGCAACCATAAAAAAATATTGAACAAAACTTTTTTATTTTGATAGAGATAATAAACACTTATCTTTTAAAAATGTATTGAAACATTTCGATTTTGTGGCTAAATTTTATTTTTTAATTTTTTTTTTTTTTTTAGAAACATTAATATTTTATCTGTATCATCATACATTACTTTTTTGTCATACAATATCTTAAATACTTTTCCCATCCCGCCAAATTTCAAAATTAGCCTTTAAACATTAGTTCTTTTCGCAAGTTTTAGCAGTTTAGCTCTGTAAAATGGCGGATCCAGGTTGGTCATCAGCATGGAGAGTAATTTTTTTTTTTTGCACAGGGAACCTAAAAACGTGCAAATTGAGAGAAAATTCTACACATCGTTTTTCGTCCGAACGAGATACTTTCTCCTCCTTCAAAGGGAAAACTGAAAAAAATCGCTCAATTTAAATTTTGAATAGTTTAATTTCACAAACGCACATAATTTTCATAAGTGTGTGGTGATTAGTGACCGTTAATCGATATTTATTTAGAAATCGTGAGATCTCAGACCGCATCTCACGATTTCTAAATAAATTTTCATAATCTACAAATCTCATAACACCACAGCCTCCACCATCAAAGTCGCACTTTTTTCATTTTATGCAACCATCACTGACTTTTCATAGAAAACAAAACTTTTTCTACAATACTAAATTCGCAACAAAAAAAATTTCTTCCTCGCAAACGTAAATAATAAATAAATAAATTTTCATAAGTTTCCAAAACATTTTCCCGTCATAGACTGCAATGAAGATCAGAGGCAGAAATCAGAAAAGCACCAGGACATGTCTAACCAGTAAACAAATCATGTCTGCAATGCAAATTTTTAGCAGAAAACATAAACGAACAAAAAACCCTCACGGCACAGGGATACTAAAAATTTGCTCCTTTAAAAATTATAGAATAATTTGAAAACAATGGGTATATATTATTATTTTATACAAAACGTAACATCATAAACTTATTGCAATAGGATAAAAAAATTAGTCACTTGTTTTTGTTTATTATTAACAGCTGGCGTTAAATTAAACTACATTCCAGCTATTTTTTCCTAGACCACTTAAAATAACGAAAATAAAATAATGGTCTACTAGTTAACTACCTAATTTGAAATTGTATTTAAGCTATTTAATTAATTATTTAGCCGTGTAATTTCATTATTCTGTTTTGGTAATAATGTGAGATTTATGGAAAAAGACGTGTGATGGCGATACCATATTTTTTAATAATATACAAAATTTGAAGGACTTTCACTTTTTACCGTGATTTCTCTGTTAATTTAAAAGAAATCTTGGCATATTTGGTAACAAAAAATTAAGAAACGCCTACGGTTTCATTTTATTATAAAACAGAAATTAATTTGAGCTTTTAAACTTAAGAAATTAGGTTTGAAAGTACCGTATTTGAGAAAAAAATCCTGATTAAAACTGCGATTTTTTCAAATTATGATAACTTTTAAAATACTGCTTGGATTTGAGCCAAACCGGGTTTAAAAGTTACGAGAAGAATCCGGCTTAAAAACGGTACCAAAAATGCCAAAATCCAATAGTGAGGTGCGAAGGTAGGAAGGAGTGAAATTAAATAAACCGAGTTGTGCGGGAGAAAACGCAAAAGTGGCTAAAATTTTGATTGATTTTTTTTTTAAATTTTAATCGCCTATAACTCTGCTACCCCCAGTCCATTTCGCTGAAAAACAACCCCAACGGTCCTTATAGGATTCTTTACCACCCTGCCAAATTTCATTGGTATGCGATGAGAACGTTAGAGAGCGCTAGATTTTTGAAAGAAACCTACCTAAAATTAAATATCAGCATAAAGGTTTCTTTATATCAATTCGAGTTATCGAAGGATCGAACCTGGAGATAAAAAAACCAAAGCGTGACAAGTTAAGAGGAAAATGATTTAAATTTTGGGAAGGTTTATCAGAGGTAACAGATTAAGGTTTATATAATGCTAAGACATATTACATATAACATCTTTACTTGGCTCCAGGGGGGAGGGGGTAAATCCCCTTTTACACCCCCTTGGATCCGCCACTGGCTCAGTATTTTTAGCCTTAAACTTTTTTAACGCAGAAAGATAAAATTAACACTTATCCTTTAAAAATAACTTGAAACATTCGATTTTGTGCTAAATTTCCATTTTTTTGAAAAAAAATTAATATTTTATCTCGATCATACGAGATTTTAATTTTTCCCATTCCGCTAAATTTCAAAATTACGCTTTAACCTTTAGTTCTTTTCACATGTTTAGCTATGTATTTTTGGGGTTAAACTTTTTTTAGCGTATAAAAACATAATTAATACATATATATTAAAAATATCTAATATAGCCAAGAAAAATTCCGATTTTGTGCTAAATTTTTTTTTTTTTTTTTTTTTTTTTTTTTTTTTTTTTTTTTTTTTTTTTTTTTTTTTTTGAGAAAAAGTAATATTTTACCTCGATCATACGATATTTTTATCATACAACACCTTATACATTTTTCCCATTCTGCCAAATTTCAAAATTACTCATTAACCTTTATTCTTTTCACAAGTTTTAGCAGTTTACCTCTGTATTTTTAGTGTTCAGCTGTTTTTTAGCGTATAAAAACATATGACTACATACATATTAAAAATGTCTAATATAACCGAGAAAAATTCCGATTTTGTGATGTATTTCGTTTTTTAAAGACAAAAAACAATGTTTAATCTAAAAAGTGAGGTTTTTTAAAAGAAAATAATCATTTTACCTTGATCGTACAATATGTTCAATCATACAATATCTCATACACTTTTAACATTCTAAATTTCAAAATTAGTCTTTAAACTTCAGTTTTTTTTAAAAGAAGTTTTAGCAGTTTAGCCCTGTATTTTTAGCCTTAATCGGTTTTTAACGAAGAAAGAGATATGTTTAATTGAGAAAGTGGTTTTCTGTAATATATATCCGAAAAATATATAATTATTGGTGATGAATTCAATCCATTAATTTAGCCTTTCGCAACAATTGCGTACTTTCTTTTGAGCTTTTCCTAAAAGAAAAAGGTTTTTTCCTAGCAACTAAGGAAAATTATTGCACAAAACACAATTTTTGAATGTAGAATTAGCCTGAAACATACATGAAACACATTGGATTATGTGCTAAATATCTTCTTTTGTTTTTTAAAGAAAAAATTAACATTTTATCTCGATCATACAATATGTTTTATCATACAATGTCATACACTTTTCCCATTCCGCCAAATTCCAAAATTAGTCTTTAAACTTTAGTTATGTTTAGAATTTTTAGCAGTTTAGCTCTGTATTTTTGGACTTAAGTTTTTTTTTAACGTAGAAAGATAATTAACACATACATATTAAAAATGTCTAATATGGCCAAAAAAAATTCCAATTTTGTTATGAATTTCATTTTTTAAAGACAATAACCATGTTTAATCGGGAAAGTGAGTGTTTTTTAAAGAAACTTAATATTTTATCTCGATCATACAATTTGTTTTATTTTACAATATCTTATATATTGTAAAAGTCCCAGTCCGCCAAATATCAAAATTCGTCTTTAACTTTAGTTCTTTTCACAAGTTTTAACAGTTTAACTTTTTATTTTTAGTCTTAAACATTTTTTAACTTAGAAAGAACTTACGTATTAAAAATCTAATATGTTCAAGAAAAATTCCGATTTTGTGATGAATTTCGTTTTTCAAAGGCAAAAACCATGTTTTATCTAGAAAGTGAAAATTTTAAAAGAAAAAAGATAATTAATACAAACCTATTAAAAATGTCTAATATGAGCTAGAAAAATTTCAGTCAATTTCAGCAAGAATGTTTTTGTTTTTCGTGGTATTTATAATCAGTGGGTGATCCATTTAATCAAACAATTTAGCCAACAAACCACGAACTTTTTTTGAGCTTAGAAAACACTTTCTCGATTAAACGTGGTTTTTTGTTCTTAAAAACGAAATTTAGCACATAATCAAACGTTTTCTTGCTCTTAACTCATTTTCTTTAGCCTTTTTAAGCGTTAATTATCTCTTTTAATATAGAAAAAGTGTATTTTTTACAATAATTTTCCATGGTTACTAGGGCAATGTGCAGATTTAGTATTGTATCCATTAGACTTCGTGGTCCGATTGACCAAATAATATCTTTCAATTAATTAATCTTTATGTAAGGTATTGGTTGAGATAAAAAAGTCAGTGTCACGAACGGGATTCGAACCGCTATCGTCACAATAGCTCAGGTGGTAGAGCAACGGCGTATTTAGCCGAAGGTCTTGGGTTCGAATCTCGCTCGTCACATTGAATTTTTTTATCTCAACCAATACCTTACATAAAGATCTTCTATCTCAGATTATATCCCTCCTGATGCAATAAAGCTCTGGGTCCAAACATTCACTCAAAAACTAATCTATCCTATTGCCATCCAAAGCTTTAATTTATAATTTTAAAAATTTTTATTTGGAAGGCCAAATGTATGCCAAAATCGCATTTTAAATTATAAAATTTATTCCTGTTCTTTAATTAGAATTTAGAATTTTTCTTCCATAATGTAAACATTTCCCATAGGGTTATATGGCGAACAATAATAATAATAATAATAATGGAGACAGACTAGCAACGGTCTCAGCATGAGTATAGGCTCGTCATCCTTTTTATTCTTCCATTCAAATATGATAA